TTGTTGGATTTGTAGCCCTTAGCATGCATCTTGTACTTGCTTTGTAATTCCTTATCTTGCCTAGAAATGTGCCATGTGTTTAGCCTAGTATATCTTCATGATTTGGCTTAGCTTATTGAAGCTTTTGGTCATGATTTATCATGCTTTAGGTCTGTTGGCCACTGTTTTTGTCATGTTTGTCGTGGTTTACATAGCTCCTTTGCATTCTAGGATTTTGGCCTTGAGCGAATGAGTCATTAGCATGCTTTGGTTAGGTTGTTTAAATGATTTGGAGTCACTTTTTATGCTATTTCAACCCCTATATCATGCTTGTATGACAGCATTTATCATCCTTTTATGCCTTGAGGAGTTGTAGTTTTGTGCCTTGAAATGGACATTGTGCATGCTTGTATGTTTAAGTCACTTGGGTGAACCGAGGCACACGGCCTGACGGCTCCGAAAAACCGGGAACCGGACTCCGAAATGGGCAAAATGGCCTACGGCCGCCAAATGTAGCCTACGGACATTGAGAGATGGTCTACGGGACCTCTCCCTCCCTTCAGGAAAAGAAACAGAGAAAACCGAGTCTGGTTCGCAAACCGAGACAAGGCACAGAAAAGGGTTCGGAAGTCCGGAGGCAGGGCTTACGGCCGCGACCCTGAAACTTCTGAACGAGCACATTATGCAACATCACCAAGCGCTCAATCAGTGACATCTGAGTCTTAAGGTCGGTCAAAAATGGGGTGTCTACAACAGCGTAATCTTCGCACTCGACACGGAGCGCCATTAGCAAAGGCCTACACCCTTGCCTGGGGGTTAGAATACTGCGGCCTACACCTACGCCCGGAGGTTAGAATATCGCGGCCTACACCTTCACTCGGGGGTTATAATACTGTAGGTCTACACCCTCACCCGGAGGTAATAATACCGTGATTCATTTTTTGGCTGATATATCTACCTTATTTAATCTGTCTTATTTGGTTCAGGCAATCATTTCCGTGCTCGGCATATAGAAATATTTCTAGCTCGGCACGAAAGTCCATATTTGGAAGCAATCTTTGCACTCGACAATATACTACACCTTTGCCCGGGGTTATAATACCGCGGCCTACACCCTTACCCAGGGGTTATAATACCGTGGCCCATCGTTATAGAGATAATGATACTCACTGAGTTTTAGCTCACCCCCCTCATCCTATGATCGACATATATACATTTATACATACATTCAAGACATACTTACATTTATACATACATTCAAGCATACATGCAGTCATTCATTCATACATTTTATTCATTTATCCAAAGTGTTTTTTATCAAAAAACCTAACAGCTATTTGAACAACGTAACTTGGCAAGAAAAAACTTTCATTCCTTCTATTGCAGACAATGAAAGTTTTGGGGCAATTGTGGGAGCCAGAATTTTATAGGTACTAGCTTATTGGGCCAAATCCAAACAAAGTCTTCAATGGGTCCAGTCCAAACAAAGGTCACCTCCCCCAATCTATATAAAGGGAGGGGCATCCCAAATGGAAGGGATGTCTAATCTCCCTCCACAAAACACACACCCCTTCTAATATATATATATATACTATTTCTTGATTCAAGGACTAACTTCATCATCGGAGTACTCCCGGCCGGCAACCCCGGTTGTGTGGCATCGACTATGTTCCTCATTGCAGATCTACAGGGGTGAAGCTCTTCTCTTCGTTGGATCTCTACAACATCCATGTGAGAGGATATTTCATGGTCTCACAGAACTTATGAATGAAATTGCTTAATCAAACTGGTGAGTGTATGGGCATTAATATTAATCGGCAAAGGTGATTGGATTATTATAAGTGGGTATGGGTTAAGGGCGTTTGCAAGACCTGAAGTAGATGGAATAGATGACTGTTGTGGACAATGAACAATCCTAGACTTTGCATGAACACACATTAGGCAATGTTTTCTTTGATAATTATTGGGGAAATTATATATCAGTGTAAATTTAGAAAAATAATTACAGATTAGTAGTCAAAGTTTATGAATATTAATAATTAAAATTATAGATTTTTAATGTATTTATAATTTATTTATTTATTTATAAATACACTGGAGTGTAATCCTTCCATAATTATTTATGTGGTGTTATATTTATTAGGACTATGAGATTGAAGTGGATCGTGGTATTTTGAAGTTAGTTTTGGGATTCTTTTAGCACTTGAGGTAAGTGATCCTCTACCACTGTCAGTGCTTCAGCCTCAATGTTCTACCTGCAAAATGCTTCTTTGAGTGAGATCGAGCCCAATTACTTGACTTGTTTTTTTGTTGATAATAAAAAATATTTTTCATTGATTTTCATTTTCCATTATTCCAAACATGAGAAAATACAAACCACGCAAAAATTTCCAATCCTAGATCTTCAGTATGAGAAACAATATCTTTACTACTTAATAATAACACACAACATATTCATTTTTAAATCAAAATTAAAATTTATATTTTACAAATTTAATAGCACACTCATCAAGTAGACACACGCTCACTAACATATATATACATTCTAATCTTTGATATTGTATCTGCAACTTCCCAGCATTGTGTAATGCATCAGCTTGACCAAAATTCATCATGGCTCCAAAAAGCTATGTCACTTGGATCAAATTGAAATGTACCGCAACTACATGACACAAATCAAAGATTGTTACAGTTACTGAATTCCCTGAGCATATTGGGTTTGACATGCATGTCACCCAAATATATTTTGAAAACCATGTATATGCTAATTAGATAGCTTCAATTAATGTATGATAACAATGAAAAAAAAATGAAAACACTTTCGGTGTTGCTCAATTTTAATGGGGAAGGATTCTCTCCCATCCACAATTTTACTAGAGGGGTGTTCTTGGGATTTATAGAGTCGCCGCATATCCTATTTTGATAATTTAAAAAAAAAAAAAAGATTCATTATATTCATAACTATATGATTTCATTATATTTGTTTAAAAAAATGAATGACAAGTATAATTTTGAAATTGTCCATTCATGTTTTCAAAGACCAATATGAACAAAATTATATGGATATAAATATGGCGTTAATCTAAATTTTATCCTAAATGATCTACACATTTTTTTTTTTTTTTTACAAATTGTACGATTCAAATCATCAAAATAAGATCTATAATGTATCTTACGAACCGATTATCACACTTGTAATTCAATAGCAAATTAGACAAAACTCTTTCCAAATATTAAGAAAGCAAAACATAAAAGAGGGCTTGTTTTCTTCAAATATTAAGAAAGACCTATGTAATTTACTCTAAACTGTACAGCCAAAAACATATTTGTTTTATTCATTATTTCAGATCAGAGGTAGAGAGGAATATAAGTGTTTAGTTGTAAAGGGTGAGCTGTCTAGTAAGTGTGAATAAGAAAAAAATAGGGGTTAGTTGTACCATTTAAATTTTCTAAATTCTTAAATTATTTTGTTTACCCATTAGATTAAATTTTCACTATTGCTGATTTGCGGATATCGTATCCAATTAAACCATATGAACAATAAATGGATGCAACTAATAAATTAGGAATTAAGTAAAAAAAACGTGACTATAGTTTACTGTATAATAAAATATGAAAATGTATTGAATTTTAATATATATATATATATATATATTTGTATTTTTTTTTGTTGTTTGGTGAATTTTTTATTTTGTAAATATTATACTTTTTAAGTGTATCTAAATTAGATATATTTAATAAATAAAAAATTTGCGTAAAATATTTAAAAAAAATTCACTAAAAAGGAAAAAAAAAAAACTCAATTTTTTCAAAAGTGAATTAAACCAAACAAGGTAAACATATTATTTTTTTATTCATATAACTAATGAATTACTAATAAAAATAAGCTAAGTGTTAACCCACTATAATTAGGAGAGCAGTCATTTTCTTATTCATTATTTGAAGCAGAGAGAAATCTGGGTTTTTGGTTGTCTAAATTGTAAAATTATTTTTTTAACCATTAGATTAGATTTTTAGCATTGATGATTTGGACAAATTGTCTCCCATATGAACTGAAATCATGAACAATAAAGACTAAATAGATGCAATTAATAATATAAAAATGAAGTAGAAAAAGTGACTATAGTTTAGGGTATAAAAGTAAATTTAAAAAGAAAATGAAAAACTATTAAAAAAGTGACCAAGTCTTGTGCCTTTTGTCAATTGCAGCTATTACAGTCAATAACAAACCTTTATTTTCACTATTCATTTATTACGTCCATGATTTTATTTTTTAATTTTTCGCATGATGATTTCCAATCAAGTGCTTTGTATAAACATCAAAGGAAATAAACTCGCTTTATTATGTATGATACAAATAAACTGCTAAGAAACTAAAAATAGACTAGATAACAACCATAACCAGGCCATAATTTTTCATGATCAAGCAAAAGGATGTAGAAATTCATTGTAATACTTACCAAAGGACACCATTTGATTGGCTAATTTCACCTTCCTCTATTCTTGTGAGCATGCTTTTTAAATCTCTTTCTGCTTCCATTTCGTTCACCTTCAATGATCCTCACAAGCCATTGAGGTTTTCCTCTAGAGAACATAAGATATCCCATAACAAGTCCCCATACAAGCCCACATATATAACCCGGTAATATGACTTCCCAATTGAATCCACTTGAAGTATTGTCTTCTTGTTGAAACATCAAGGGTGGTGGTTGTGGTGTCCTTGGATTGCATGTATTAAGCAATGGAGGTCCACATAATGCCAAGTTGCCAATGTAGGAATCATTTAAAAATGTATCAAATTGGTTGCCTTGTGGTATCGGTCCTATTAGTTGATTCTGCGAAAGGTTCAAGACTTCAAGGGATATCAAATTCCTTAGTTGTTGAGGAATCTCCCCAGTGAATTTGTTGGAAGAGAGATCTAACCATTCAAGCGTTGTCAAATTAGCAAGAGATGCCGGTATACAACCTATAAGGTTGTTGTGGGATAAGTTGAGCCCTCGGATTGAATTCAGCCTTCCAATGATCTCTGGAATCTCACCTTCAAAATTGTTTTTCGATAAATCAATTGCAGTGAAAATGGTTAGGACTTTTACCATTTCTATGGTTGATCCTTTGATTACTATAGTCAAACAATAGTAATTACTGTCAGCCATGCTTAAGTATTGCAATTTATAACTGGCTTCGTTGACATTCATCATAGCATTGAAATTATTGATATAATTTTTCGGCAATGGACCAGTAAAATAATTGTCTGACAAATCCATAACTCGCAAGTTAGGGAAGAGAAATTTGGCTTTGGAAGTTGGCATGTGTCCATGGAATTTGTTAGATCTCAATATTAGAACTTGCAACCACTGTAGTTTTTCCAACCAATATGGAAATTTAGCAGAGAACTTGTTACATCCAAGATCTAGCACTTTTAGCATTTTGCAATTGACTAAAGATTTTGGTACTTCCCCCTCAAATCCATTTCCATAAAGGCTGATAGTTTCAAAGTAATTTCCCTTTACAAATGTATTAGGAATGGTGCCAGAAAAATTATTCTTCTGCAGATCGAGCACATAGAAATGTCTGCTGAAGTTTCCTAAACATTGTGGAATAGAACCATTAAAGCTATTACTAGACAAGAGAAGAACTTGAAGGGAAACTGCATGACAGAGCATGTCTAGCTCACCACTGAAGTTATTTGATGAAAGAATGAGACTAGTAAGGTTTACGAGTTTGAAGGTTGAACTTGGAAACCTACCATGTAGGTTGTTATTGCTCAAATCAACTACAGTTAAATGAGTGGATTTGAACTCTTTTATATGGCCAGTCAATTTGTTATTACTGAGGTTAAAGTATTCCAATGCTGGCAAGCTGAAGACCCAAGATGGAATTGCACCGTTGATTAAGTTGTCACCTAAACTTAACCATGTTAGATTTGGAAGTCCAATTATTTGTAATGGAACAGGTCCCGCTAGCTGATTATTTGACAAATCTAAGCTAACAAGTGATGTTAGGTTTGCAAGCAATGATGGGAATGGACCGCCAAAGTTATTTGAAAAAATATATAAATAAAGAAGACTTTTTACATTAGGTAAAAAATCTGCGATTTTACCTTCAAAATTATTACCCCCAACGCCCAAGTAGACGAGATTTCCAAGGTTTGAAAGGGAAGATGGGAGCATGCCAGTGAAATTGTTATATCCGATGTCTAAATAAGCCATTTCCGTAAGGTTTCCGAGCGAGGTAGGGATGGATCCATAAAATTTACAACCACTGGCATCCAACATATTCAAAGACTTCCAATTCCCAATTGAGTCGGGTAGTTCTCCAGAGAAATTAGTGTCTGTAAGGTACAAGTACTGGATAGGACTGCTCGAGTTTATAAACTCGGGAAAATAACCAGTGAGAGCAGTATTTTCACCTATACGAAGCTCATTCAGATGTGGTAAATGGAATATTCCGTCAGGAAATTTTCCAAGCAATCCACACCAAATAAGATCGAGATGTGTTAAAGAAGTCAGATTGAGCAAGGAATTCGAAACTACTGAAGATATGTAAACACCTCGAAGATTAAGTTCTCTTACCTTGGTTACGTTTTGAACAAGTAAATCAAATCCAGGTTCTTCCAACCTCAAACCATCATTGGAAGAGAGATCAAGCGAGACCAATTTGCTCAGAAAGGAGACTTCTATAGGGACTTTGCCAGAAAAACTAGACCATGAGAGGTTGAGGTGTGTCAGTCTGGTGAACCGACTAAATTCAGATGAGATTGGAGACATACCGAAGTCATTGAAAGCAAGGTTGAGGCTTTGGAGGTGAGGAAAGTAGTAGAAGATGGTGCTATTGGGTTGGATGGTGCCGTTGAGCCTGCTGCAACTGAGGTCGAGGCCAATTACTTGACTTGTGTTGTTGTCACACTCGACCCCATCCCATGAGCAACAATCAGAACCCTCCTTCCACGACTTCATCTTCGGGTAAGAATAATCACAGAGATCGACGTATGTGACGGAAACACCGTTGTCACGGACCAATGTGTAGGAAGCAAATTTATTGAAGGAAAATTGTTGCTTAAATTGGAGCAATGCATAGGTCTGTTGTTGAGTGCAGAGTTGGGCATGCAAACAAGTAATCTGGAAAAAACAAAGAAACAAAAAGAGGTGAAAGAGTTGATTGTTAGAGACCATCTTTGCTCCTAGATTCAAAAACAAAGGTTGTAATGCTTGCTGACTTTTAAGAGGCCAAATGCTTTTATAGGCAAATGCAAAGCCTACAAACAAGTAAAGTGAGTTTGACTAGTCAGTCTTCATTGATGTTTACACAGCTCGACTCCATAACTTGTCACTCGTCAAGGAAGACTTGGTGTTTAGTACAGCTTTTGTTATGATATAAAGGTGGGTACATGCTAGAATTTTCTTAAAAACAATGTGAATTCAAGTAACATTCTTAAATAAAGACTGTCGTATGTCACTTGTTTTTTTTTTCACATTTTTATATCACCGGCCTACATAGACAGTGTATATCATTTGTTTATATTAATTTCTAATTAATAATTATCTTTAACAAAAGTAATTATTCGTAAGTATTTGACAATACGAAGTCTATTTTATTATAAAAGTGTGACAAATTGTCATGTTTTTTACTTTTTACGTATTCTGAAATTAGAAAAATTACCCTCTTAAATTTATTAAACATCAATAAAATCACAGACAACCACAGACATATTTTAAAATTTAAACACTTTCAAACATCAAACACCTTAAAATAACCAAACACCTTGAAACACCACAATCTACTATTAATCAAATACCATGGATGTTTCGGATCGGTAGCCTCATGGAATTTACATGATCCTTAACAGCAGCAGATAAACTATTCTAATTTTTTTAGATGTTGATCTACTCTCCACCATGCTCTTGTCTTCTTCAGAGCTCTATTTGTTCTTCAGTATGTATTGTTTTATCTTCTTTCTCATCTCTACCTCAAACCCTACTCTTTCTATTTTTCTTTTCTTTTTTTTATTTATATTATTTATACATCTTTTGGTTTTGATCATACAAAGATATATATATATATATATATATATACATATATCATGTTCTTGTAAACCAATTGATTTTATCTAATTTACTAGAACGATGCAAGTAAATTTTATATTATTACTAGCAATGGGTGCAAGCACGTTGAGTTTGCAATTGTAGGTCTAAACTTTTCGATGGTTTGATTAATGAGGAAGATTCACTACCATGACCTGTTCAATATTTGTCTCATCCACTACCTTCTCATTTTTTATTTATTTTTTGATCAGCCAAAAAAGAATTTTATTGATGAATATTCAAGCAACCAGAGAAGATACATCAGTAAAGAGGGAAAATGCAAAAAGCGTCACAGCAGACCCATGCTATCCCAACAAGGTTGGCACCGCGAGGGCTACTCGATCATATGCTAGCACCCCTTAAATGTTGGTGGGAAACCAACAAACACAGAAAACGGAGAAACAGGTTGAACACACATTCAGATCAAAACTCTATTGTGACCACCCCAACTTCAGATCAAAACTCTACTCCCCAAACACATCATAATCTGGCTCAGATTGAAAATAAAGTCCGGAACTGAAAATTTGAACACCTTTAATAACGGTTTCATCCACAAAGCAGTTCTAATCTTGATCAACTCACATAGCTTTGTCAGATTCAAATCAAGAAAAATCATGAAAATATATCAAGAAAATAAATATTTTTGCAATGATATACTCATCTGTAAGAATTTCAGCTTTTAATGTTAAAAACACTTAAAGTTCTCATTATTACTACTCTTTGTTTAATTTTTTAATTTAACTGTATAAAAAAAAAAATCTAACTACTCTCCTATGCAACAATAAAATTATCAAAATTGTTCATCAAAAAATATTTCTCATATCACTAAAAATCATTAATTCACTTAATAATTTATTTACAAAAAAAATAATTATTAATATTGCATAAAAAAATTTAATTATTAATATTGCATACAAATCAGAAAAAAATTTAAAATTTAAATATTAAGATGTATAAAATTTATAAACATCCTTCATTTAAATATTAAGATGTATAAAGTGATAGTTTGAAAGAAATTTTGTATTACAATTTTGGAATCACGTGAAATAAAATTTTGAGATTTCTACGAAAATAATAGTTTAAAAGAAGTTCCATACTCCATTTTTGGAATCACACCAAGCGAATGATCACATCACTATGATGTAATGGAAGTTGCGTATAAATCAATCCAAAAAATTGAAAGGTTTACATTATTTATTTATTTTTTAATAGAGAGGACATAATTTATAAATAAAGAAAAACCAAATATACAACAGTAGTAAGATATAAATTTTTTATTAGATTTATAAGATGCAATTTGTTAGATTAAATTATTATTTTAAGTGAATTTAAATAAAATTGAAATGAATTTAATTAGATGAATTTACAATTTTGAGTTGAGTCTATCATACTTAATAATTGGTCAAGTTATTGCCATGTCGAAGGGCAAGAAGTTTCACATGGTGTTTCCATCAAGTTCCTTGTCCAACTAATCCACATTTTAATAACTTAAAATTTAACATTGCTTCCTATTCAACTGATTCAAATAAAAATGAAAACTTCTAGCTGTATAGAATTAGTTATAGAATCAGATACAATATTATGGGGGAAAAAATAGTTTAAATTTTACTCACATTATTTTTACATTTTTCCTTCTCTTTTTCAAATTCTTATCCAAATTTATAATTTAAACCCAAAATATTTAAATATCACCTAATGTAAAAGAGTTGTGTCTAATCCTATAATCATGTAACAAGGTTTAAAAAAAACATATACAATTCAACAACTTTATTGAATGCCGTTGGTTGCATAGATAAGAGGTGCCAAGTGTAATTTTTTCTTTTCCTTCTAATACATTGTCAACTGTAGTTTGGAAGAGAATGAATTGAACACTTAACTCGAGTGCAATTTTAAGCCTTATAAAAAAACGATTTGACATTGGTTTTCCATATATATATATATATATATATTGAGAAAATTGGTGAAAGTCCATCCCAAAGGGGTATTGTGGGAGCTAGAAAATTATAGGTACTAGTTTATTGGGCCTAACCCAAACAAAGCCTACAATGGGTCCAATTCAAACAAATATTACACCCCCATCTATATAAAGGAGGGGCCATCCCAAGTGGAAGGTATTTTCTCACCTCTCTCTCTACAAAACACACACCCCTTCAAATGCATATACTATTTCTTCCTTGATTCAATGACTGACTTCATCATCGGAGAGTCCCCGGCCGGCAACCCCGGTTGGGTGGCACCGACTATGTTCATCATTGCAGATCTACAGGGGTGAAGCTCTTCTCCTCGTTGGATCTCCACAACATCCATGTGAGAGGATATTTTATGGTCTCACAGGTAGAAATCATTAAATTCAAAGTAAAATCTTCATCATCATCATCATTCCAATTCCATAAAACCCAATATCATTTTCATTTCCTCTTTACTAAATCAAAATATTCACATTTTAGGGCAAAATCCCCTTTATTTATAAATCAACGAATTTGTTAGATTATATTTTAGTGATTGTCCAAATTATTATGGGGTGTGCAGCTAAGTAGTGTGTAATGTTTTAGAGGTGGGATAGTTTTGGTATTACGTTGGGTCCCTAGAAATTTTATCAATGTTTAAATTTTATTAACGCGGATTCAAACAAATGGAATTCCATAAAAAAAAATAAATAAATAAAATAAAATAAAAAGTAGGGACTGTAAACGCCATCCTAATCAATATAATACTAATATACTAGTTTTCTCCATTATTCACATTATGGAGTGTGAAACGCTCATTGGAAAAAAAAAAATCCAATGATCATATTTAAATAATTTTTTCATATTTATTTATTTTTAAAAAATGAATGACAGCTGTTTTTTAAGATAAATATAAAGAAATTATATGATTATAATTATCAAGTCAATTTAAAATTTAAAAAATGTTAACTAAATATAACTTAATAGATAAACCACCCAAATAATTAAAATTAGATCCGTAACAAACATCACATATTCAAATAACATTCTCCAATATAAAAAGAAGACTAAAGAGGATCTTTCCACCATAGAGCTTTTCATAAAGTATGAAGAGGATCTTTCCAAATGTGTTTTACATGTCATATCTTGCTCAATGCCGGCCTTATTGGTGAAGTGCTCCTTGATGAGTGAAGCACGTTTTGGTTAATAACAAAACTATATATATCAATTGATATATTAATTAGTATATTAATAGATGATTTGATATAATTTTAGAGGTTTTAATTCTTCATGATTTGTATAATGGATGAAATCTATAATTTTAAAATGACAATGTCTTAGTATACGTTGATACACTAATTGATATATTAATTGGTGTATGTAACACCACTGGTTAGTTAACTCGGTAGACCAACGTTGTTAAAATCGAATCATTGTGAGAGGCCCTTGGATTGAATCATAAAAATTATATTGAGAATTGTAAGATTTTATTTTCAGTGTAAAATAAAACAAAAATTTATCAATAATAATAATATATGTTAAATAATTGAAAATTTTACCCATAAATCACATATGGGAGAATGTTAATCCATTTAATATTAAGAGTTTTCTTATAAACCAATTAGTCGTTTTTGTTTTAGAAAGCAATATTTATTTGATTTAGTGACATTTGAGTTTAAGGAAATGTCCTTTTGTGATTCATTTATCAAATTATTTGATTCGTTTTTGGGATGAGAATGGAAAAATGAGGTGTAAAAGATTCTTTTTGGAGGGATTGGTGAGTGAAGTATTAACTGTCGAGTGTTGAAAAATCACCTTTAAAGTTCATTTTTAGTCGCCAAAAGTCGACTTTTTAGTTTCCCCGACTAAAATTTTTAGTCGCCACTTTTGTCGCGAATACATGGTCGCCAGAGGTATTGGCGACTAAAACTTTTTTAGTCGGCAAAAAACAGGTCTTTAGCGACCAAAGTTTTAGTCGCCAATAGTGATTTACACTTTTGAAAATCATACATTTAGCGACTAATCCTTTGGTCGCCAATACTCACTGAATCGCTGACTAAACCGTTTAGTCGCCAAAATAAAGACTTTTGGCGACTAATAATTTTAGTTGCCAAAGGTGCTTCCGTGAAAAAAAAAAAATACTAACTTTTTTGCTTTTTCTAAGACTTGAACTGCCAACCTGTCCCACATTCTAAACCTTTTGCAACACACTCCCTCCACTATGCCACTACAACACCACATGAATATATATGCAATATATATTATTTATATAATATATTGACCCGTATTAATATAAAACTATATATAAAAATATAATTATTTTTATTCAATATAATTTATGTAAAAAATAAATTATTTACTAAAAAAAAATTGAGGCCACTTTTGGCGACTAAATCCATTATTTAGTCGCCAATTCTGTAATTTTGGGCTACTAATTATCTATTAGTCGCTAAAAAAATAAGTTCCGCCTAAACATAAACAGTTTTGGCGACTAAACCTGTTTTTAGTCGCCAAAAACGTCTCCTTTTGGCTACTAAACTGAATTTTAGTCGCCAATTGCCTGTTTTTAGCTACTAAATTTTTTTTAATAGCCAAAAAGCTTCACTTTCAGCGACCAAACTGTTTTTAGTCGCCAAAACACGTATAATCGGCGACCAAACTGTTTTTTAGTCGCCAAAACCTATACTTTTGGCTATTAAATTATTTTAGTCGCCAAAAACCGTCACTTTTGGCTACTAAAAAACCTTTAGTCGGTAAAACCCATATAATTGGCGACTAAATTGATTTTTAGTCGCCAATAACTATACATTTGGCTACTAAATTGTTTTAGTCACCAAAAGTCTTCACTTTTGGCTACTAATTCCATTTTAGTCGCCGAAAATGGCACTTTCAGCGACGAAAATAATTTTTTTAGTCCCCATTTTCTGCATTTTCTTGTAGTGATTTCTATCAGTGTGATTTTCTGATGTTACATTGGAGTGTTATATTAGAGTGTTATGTTTAGAAAAAGTATATTAATGAGTTTTTTGTGTGTTATATTGATTGAAGTGTTATGTTTGGAAAAAAAATACATTAATGAGATTTTTAATGCTGTAGGAGTTTGATTTTTGGGAAACGAGTAAATAGGTTGTGATTTTTGTTCTAGATTTGGGGTTTTTTTTGGTTGATGTAGAGGCTTGATCTCTCCTACTAAATAATAAATAATTGATGGAGATTTGAAGTATTTTACCTTCAACTTATAAACAGAGTTAATTCCACAAGGTATTCCATTAGCGAACCTTCAACCAGCGTGGAAGCGACGAAGAACCAGAAGCTTGTTTTATTGAGAGATTCTTTGAGAGTAGTGGATTTGGGCCAAGGTTTTCCCCTTCTCTCTTTCATTCTTCTTCCGATTTGGGTATAATTTGCAAAGAATCAATTATATAGTTTTTGTTCTGCTCAACTTTTTGATTTCAATACAGTATACATTGTGAATGTATGTTTTGATTTCATTATAATTTGTACATATTGATTACAATTTCAATTTGTATAGAAGTAATCAACCTTAAGTTTTTACTGTCCAAACAAAAGAGCCTTTGCTCTACTGCTACTGCTGTTGCTGCTGTTTTTTTTTTTTTTTGATCAGCAAAACAAAGAAACTATATTGATGTAAAGCATAGTACAAACTACAAAACAAAATACATCAATAAAGAAAGGCAAGTGCAAAAGCATCACAATGGGATAAATCATCCCAACTAAGTTGGCACAAAAAAGCTCATCCTATCATTTGCTAGCACCCCCAGAGTTGGTGAGCAACCAACCAAAGAAACAGAAAAAACAAAAACAGCCACCAACAGACACCTACAGCCCACCAGCAGGAGCAGCAGAGCAGAGAAGCAGAGCACCAAACCAGATCTCCCCTCAAACATTAGTGCAACAGTGCAGACTCATCACAGTGCATCAATGCAAAACAAGACCATTCCACATTCATTATCAGAAAAACAAACAAGGCCTCAGTCCAAATCATCAATTCATTCCCCAATCCAAAACTAACACCCATTGCATCAATTCAAATACCAGAATCAGATCAGCCATCAATTCATATATTCACTACAATAAGCTAGAACATCAATGCTGCTACATAACCAGATCATTCACAGAAACTGCATATTATAAACCAGATCTCATTTTCACAATGTCATATAGAGCATCAAAGTCAACACACCAGCCCCAGAAACTCTGCAACCGAGAGGTGTGGTTTCAATCTTACTACTGCACTTTCATACAACCATCCATTTGCACCTTTCTGTACCTTAATAGTTCGGGCTGAGTTGGGTTGAGGGCCCCTGCCTCTAACCACATCGGCATAAGACTTTCTCCCCTGATAAGGAGCCCTTACAGTGTGATGTCCATCCTTTTCCCTCCACTGCTGTACTGGTTGTCGGATACTTTGATTTTTATCATGTACCTTGCTGAACTCAGCCATTTTAACCTTCAGTGCTTTGTCATCACACCAAAGTCCATTAGCTTTCTGCAGAGCCATATCTGTTGCTACCGAGTAACCATACTTGATAAATCCAAATCTGGATCCTGTAGATTTTCTCCTCTTGTTCGGAATGTACGCATCCAGCACCACACCAAAATTTGATAAGAGTTGAAAAAGCCCTTTCGCCCCCATCGATGTTGGTAAGTTGTCCACAAACACCGAATAAATGGTACTCCCCCTTCAAGCTCCCTCTGCTTGACCACCATGCTTTTGAACCACTGGTTGCCAGCCTCCAATCCCATTCGTACTCGTTTGCCCCCTCATTACTTGATCGTATACCCAACCTTGAACCTGAAACTTTATGGATGCAGTGTCACATTTGGTGCACTAATGACTGTTGCTGCTGTTATGGTCTAATAGTTTGGGGCAGGTGATCATTTGCTCTGCTACTGCTGAGGGTCCTCTCTCTATTTTGGTTTGATCATTTCTATTTTGGCTTGTTTTTTATTTTGAAGGATGGCATTTGGGGGCGAAAATTGGAAACAGCCCCGAGATCATCACGTTCACCTTGGACTAGATTAAACAAATTTGTGAGAGGAAGTGGCGCATTGATAGGACACACGGTTAGAGATTTAGACAAGAAAATGTGAGAAAAAAAGGCGAAACAGGGCCGTTTGGGGGCGAAAATTGGAAACAGGCCCATACAGTCACGAGATCATAACAATCACCTCGGCCTAGATTAAACAAACTTGTAAGAGCAAGTAGCGCATCGATAGGACACACGGTTGGAGATTTAGAAAATAAAATGCGCGAGAAAAAAGGCGAAAACGGGCCGTTTGGGGGCGGAAATTGGAAACAGCCCCCAAATAGTCCCGAGATCATCATGGTCATCTCAGCCTAGATTAAACAAAATTGTGAGAGCAAACAGCCCATTGCTAGGAAGTACGATTAGAGAATTAAAGAAAAAAATGTAAGGAAAAAAGGCTAAAAGTGTCATTTTAATTGCTACCTTTACTTGTTCATGTTACTTTTACTTTCCATGGAACTTTTATTTTTTTGTCCAATTTTACAATCATTTGATGTGCAAATATTTTCATAAAAACATTACTTGACATTTTTTTATCTTTTTCTTTTGTACAGATGGATGAACTCGTGCAACAAACTAAATTGTATAAGACTAGTTGGCACTTGTTATATTTTTTAAAGGATTATATATTTTTGGATAGATGTGTGTGGAGAATATTTGAGTAGACTACTAGTTATATTTTCGGATAGATGCGCATGGATAAAAATTTAAAACATAACATATAGACTACTAGTAATGTTTTAAATTTTTATACTAGATGGATGTGATTTTGGATGATTATATAAATTACACAATATTTTTAATTGGACGATTATGTAGTATAGAATTACTTGTGGATGAAAACTTATTATAATTTATGACTTTAATTAAACAGGTTAAGGATTGGATGATTATGTATTTTATTAGATGTTCATGATTTAGTTAATTTTGTTGGTTTGAATGATTCTTGCAAATTACAGGTTATATTGAATGGATTTGATGGATTATTATATTTTGATAAACAAAAAGAATTGAATTGGCGGCCAAAAATTGATTTTGTTTTTCCTCTTTTGGTGACCAAGTGATTAGTCAGGAAAGATAAGTAATACTTTTGCTGACTAAAGTTGTTAGTCGGTGTATCACCACTCACATTTGGCGACCAAAATGTTGGTAGGCGAAAGGGTACATTTGACGATTAAATAATTTGTTGGTGAAATTATTAATTTTGGCAACCAAAGAGTTTGGTCACAAATAGGTCTATTGTCGACTAAAGTTTTAGTTGGGCAAACTTTGTGTTTTGGCAACTAATAGGTTTGCTGTGGGAATGTTACTTTTGGTGAAAAACATGTTTGGTCGGGGAATGGAACAATTAGCGACTAACATATTTAGTCGGGAAAATATCACTTTTGGCAACTAAAGTGTTTTAGCTACAAAATGGTTTAGTCGCGGTAAATATATATTTAACGACCAAAAATTTAGTCTGCAAATAGAACCTTTTCCCTACTAAAAAAATTTTTTGGTCACTAATTACTTTTTCTGACCCTCCATTGGCGACCAAAAAATTTAATCGCAGAAAATTTTTGTTGACTAAAATGGACTTTTGCCGACTAATGTTTTGGTCGGCAAAAGTGCAATTTCTTGTAGTGCCCGCAGTTCACAAATCAGGCAATAACCAATTGAGTGTGAAGAGAGGCATCTTTTACCAGTAATATGTTAGTTATAGAGAGTTTACCGAAACAGTTGGTTTACGAAACATGCGTTTGGAAGAAGATAACCAAGGACATAATGACCACAGCTCGCTTCACACAGTTTCCCACTGCATGGGTTACCGGTGACACCATTTGTAAGAATCCAAAAGGATTAATAACATGATACTTTCAAGTAAAGTTGATCAAAATATATATGTATATATATATTTTTTGAATTTCAATTATTGTTTTCACTAGAGAATGGACTCAAAAAAAAAAAAAAGAAAAAAAAAAGAAAAAAAAAGAGAGTGATTATCATGTCGACAAAATGAGTGTTAGCACTGAAGTTCATTGTTTGATTATTTAATTTCTTAATCTTTTCCATCAGTTTCGTTCAGCCCAGTGGTTCTAAGAATGATAGATTATGTGCTTGGGTTTTCAATTTGATTGGATATGGGTGGGTGTTCAATTTGATTTACTAGGGTTGGGTGTTTAATTTTGAGTATTATTTTTGTGAGGGTGTGTGTTTTATTTTAATTTGTGTCTATTATAATAATTTTAATTGAAGTTATAATTGTCATTAAAAAAACTATCAATAGGCAGGGGTCCTTAAAAAAATGGTGAGGGTTATGCCATCCTATTGATTATTAATAACATTTTATTATTAAAATTAGTGATTGACATATCCGATGCGTGTTAAATTTAAATAAGTAAAATAAAATAAAATATTTATTATATATTGTATGCCAATCAAGTGGTAAAATTTTTCTTGAGCAAATCTAAGATCCAAGGTTTAAGTCTCATTTATTTTTTGTTTTAATATGTGGCTTAAATATTATTAGTTAGCACACGCAATGTGTGTACAATTCAAAGAAATAAAAGAAAAATAAATTATTTACTATATCATATGTTGTGTGTTAGTCGAGTGGTAAATTTTATCTAATTTTTTGTTTTATATATAGTAAGTATAAATATAGATAGGTAGAAGACAGAATGAGGGAAAAAAAAAATCAATTAGTTGGAGAAAAAGCTATCACTTGAGAAAGTTTTCATGACAACGTGTTTGAAGCGTCGATTAGGAATTATTGATACCACAAAATGTGAACATATGGAAAAAGACTACATGGAAAGTATGAGTAGTGGACAAAAAATAAATAAAAAATAAAATAAAATAAAATTAACCACCAACGTGTTACATGATGATAACAAACACTCCATTCCACACGTAACTCCCACGCTACACAAATTTAATCTTCACCACATAATCACCCACTCAAAAAATTCTGGGTGAATATGTCTGGCACCATAGCATTTTTCAAATTTTAAATTGATTTGATAATTATGATCATATAATTTCTTTATATTTATCTTAAAAAACAATTGTGATTCATTTAAAAAAAAATGAAATTACTTAAATATAATTATTAGATTTTTTTTCATAGAGCATTCCACACCCCATAATGTGAATAATGGAGAAAGCCAGTATAGTAGTATTATATTGATTAGTGCCATCCTATTGATTATCAATAACATTTTATTATTAAAATTAACGATTTACACATACGATGCGTGTTAAATTTGAATAAGTAAAATTAAAATAAAATATTTACTATATGTTGTATGCCAATCAAGTGGTAAAACTTTTCTTAAACAAATCTAAGATTTAATGTTTAAGTCTCATTTATTTTTTGTTTTAATATGTGACATAAGTACTTTCGGTTAGCACACGCGATGTGTGCACAATTCAAAGAAATAAAAGAAAATTAAATTATTTACTATATCATATGTTGTGTGTTAGTTGAGTGATAACTTTTATCTAATTTTTTGTTTTATATATAGTAAGTAAATGTAGATAGATAGAAGACACAATAAGGAAAAGGAAAAAAAAAAAAAAATCAATTAGTTGGTGAAAAAGCTATCACATGGGAAAGTTTTCATGACAACGTGTTTGAAGCGTCAATTAGGAATTATTGACACCACAAAATGTGAACATATGGAAAAAGACTACATGGAAAGTATGAGCCCTAAAAAAAAAAACAAACAAATTAACCACCAACGTAGACGACTTAGGTGGTGTTTGGTTTTCATGTTTGGCTAAATAAGTACAAAAAGATTAAAAAAAAAAAAAAAAAAAAATAAAAAAAAAAAAAAAAAAAAAAAAAAAAAAACCAAAAATCAAAAAAAAAAAAAAAAAAACACTATTCCAAGGCTAAAAAGCCGAAAAAGCCAATCAAGAATACCAAACGAACAAAAAAGTCTCAGGCTAAAAAAGTCAAAAAACCAACTAAAAAAGTCTTTGTCAAAGAAAGGCTTAAGCCATTTAAAACCCAAAGTGAAAATTTTAATTGTGCCCCTTAATAATTTTTTACATTGTAATTAAAAAAATTTTTATATTATAATTTTTATTTAAAATTCATAACATTCTCAATCAAAATAATTTTATTTATTTATATTGATACTAGCATAAAACCCGTGTTATGCACGGCCTTAAACAAACAATTAAAATTTTATTTTTGAATTTAAATAGTAACAATTTTAAAAGTAAAAAGTAAAATAGTTAAAATAATGTAAATTAAGTTGTTTTTGAACTGCACTCAAAATAAGTTTCAATTGTATTACCATTAATGTTATATTTTAAGTATTATCTAACAATCTGAAGGGGTTGGCTTAGTGGGTGTAACCAATCCTATTACGTAGCTCGAAAATCAGTGGCTCGAATGTCCCTAAAATCAAAACGACGTTGTTTTGATATATATATATATATATATATTTTTTCCCCCTTTCTCTGTTCTGATCTCTGCCTCTTCTTCAACAAAGAAGAAGAAGAAAGAAAGAAAGAAAGAAGAAAGAAGAAAGAAGAAATAAGAGGAAAGAGAGAAGAGGGAAGCAAACCCAAATCGCCCGAGCAGAGAGAGAGAGATCAACCAAAAATCAAATTC